GCAAATGTTTTTACCACATTCCTCTTATTTAGTCGGGAAGGTTAGAGGTTAATTACTACTTATTATATAATGAATTATACCTCAGGGGAAAGCTAGACATTGATTTTAAGAAATTAAGAGAATCATGAAACTTGCATATTGGTTCATAAAATAGGTACATTGTTTTGTTTTGAATCATTTACACTTAAATTATGGATAAGAGAAAGGAAGATAATTTTTATCTGTATGTATTGTATTGCTACAGACAGAAAAGGGTGCATTACACACCTGTATTTCATCTAATTCAACCAAACACTCGATGTAAGTAAAACATGTATAGTTGACAAACTATGTTTGTTAAAAGTTAGATATTGTTCCTACGAGTTTGTTACCTGTAGCAGTGTAGTAGTGTTTAAAGTTTTTGGTCTTGATAATAAAAAAAAAAGATTGAAGAAAAAATCCTTATTTTTGGATCCTGTTATATTTTATAGCATAAGCAGTGTACAAAAAATTATTCTCCAGAGGGTGCTAGAAAATTGTGATTTAAAAGTAAAGTTGTTGCAAGTATCTTATGTGATCTATTGAAAATGAGGAAACATTTACATCTAATAGATATGGTTTTTACCAAGTTTTAATACCTCAATTTCTGTATTGTATTTGAAAGAAAAGTTTTGTCACTTCAGACAAAAAAAGCAAAATTATTCAAACTGTTCTTTTGTTTCAGTCATATTAGAGGCAGATTTGGGAGGAGGTATTTTTTTCCATCAGCTATTTTCAGACTGTGGTGAAATGGAAGCTGTATTAACACTGTCATTATTAATTTTAGTTAGGTGTGATTAAAAAAAAAAAAGTCCAAGTTTTACACTATTTATATGTGAATAACATAGAAAAATTGGAATCATTATATTTTCAACTTAGTATTATATCAGGTTGTTTCAATTTAGTCATTCAGGTAATGCCATTTAACTGTGGTTTTTGAAAATTGGCTATTATGATGGAATATTAATTTCAGCATGTGACAGTGTATTGATGACAGTCTAGCACACACCCAATTTTCTTTGCAATAGTTTTATTATGAAGTTTATTAATTTTTTTTTTTTAGTTAAGTTATTAATTTATTATATAAGAAAATGTTAAAAATATATGTTTGTCCATTAAAGTGCCCAAAATTCACAGTTTCTGGTTTCTTTTATTTTTTTAGGGTTTAAATATTCTTCCATAAATCAGAAGAAAAACAAGTTCTTTGAAAATAATTTCTGGAGGACAGTTCACTTACAAACAACTTCCATTAACAATCTTTGACAATGAACCACTCAATAATGAACCATAGTATGATGGACCATTCTATGATGAACCACTCTTTGATGAATGCAAGTGGATTCACTCCAACTACAACCAGCTTTCTTCAGGCTCTGATGACTACTATGACGGTGCATCAGATGCACAACCATAAATCCCCATCTAAGATTACAACTCCCTTTCCTAAACATGATCATTTGCCAAAGGATCACTCTCACTTCCAACCATTGATATCTCCTAATTTGCCAAATATAAATGACCATCCAGTACATGATCATAATAGTCATTCATCACATGGTCATGACAGTCCTTCAGCACATGGTCATGACAGTCCTTCAGCACATGGTCATGACAGTCCTTCAGCACATGGCCATGACAGCCCTTCAGCACATGGCCATGACAGCCCTTCAGCACATGGCCATGACAGCCCTTCAGCACATGGCCATGACAGCCCTTCAGCACATGGCCATGACAGCCCTTCAGCACATGATCATAGTAAACATCGTGTTGGTAATTATCTGGAGCATAATATGCAGGTAATCAGAATTACAGTAAATAATTGTAATTTTTTTTCAAATAAAAATAGTAACTTATTTAATTCTATTACATTAAACTGTTACTCGTTGAAAACAAACTAGGGTTTTATCTGGTGTGCTTATATTTTAATTATAAATAGTGCATCTGTAAATATTTATTTCATGGTGTAAATAATCTAGAGTGTGTAATTGACAGAAGAAATGTACTGTATTTTATCCTTGTTGCCAGGTTAGCATTGATCATGATTTTTTTGTTCCAGTTAGAGTAAATGTATGAACACATCCAAAGTTGCATAATATTTTTTTCTATATTCTATCAATTGGAAATCAGTATCAGAGTAATGGCAGATGGTAAAAGATTATTGTTAGAATATAGGAATCTATTTCATTATAATATAAATCTTCCATTTCTTGTCTAGCAAAGAGTGTAGAAACACTTAAGACAAAATTGAATATACTATTTTTTTTTTTTAAAGGAAAGATTGTTTTCTTGCTGTTAATACACCTGTGGAGGAGATACATACTTATAAAACAGGAAGTCATGTACATTCTTGACATATTTCTGTTCTTTTGCATTGATGGGAAAGAAGTTGATAAAATTTTGTGTTATAAGACAAGAAAAACTTAAGGCCAAATGTAACCTGCTATAAAGGGGAGAATAGCTTATCAGGTGGTTAATATGTTTCAGTCTTAAACGTGACATACTGTTTGTAAAGTTAGAATTGTTCTAAACATTGAAAATCACAGTTATGCATGGTTCTTACTGACTAGCAGAATCATGGGTTTAAACCCTACCTGATCTGTGTTTTCTTAGAAAAATGCAAGTAGGTTTGTAGTAGCAGCTACATTGAACAGAAAATCAAGTGCATTCTTGAACTTGTCTGTTTAGATTTTGTTGGAAGAAGTGATGTTGAGAAGATCTTACCTGTAGTCTAGTGTTAAACAGTTACATAGTTGTGTAATACTAGTTATGTATTAGTACAGAGCTTAGCTTTAGAAATAAAAAATATGACCATTTGTAGTACTAAGAGATCAGTTAGGAAATGTTTTAAGAATTTTGTTTAATTTCACATTTAGATGTACTTCACAGCAGGTGTGGAAGTGACCATACTCTTTAAACAGTGGCATGTGACAACTGTTGGAGGTATGATTAGTGATAAACCCTCACCTAAACTTTTATTTTGGTAATTTAATGTATAAATTGTTAATTCAAATGTGGCATGACTAAAGCAGGTAATATTTTACTAAGATGATTAAAACCATGAATTACTGTGACTGATTTACTTCTCAAAGTTTTAAGTGTATGATAAAGTTTGCGGTTATATATATGAATGTTTTTTTTTTTATTTTCCACAGGATTTTTTAATTATTTAACAAAATCACATTTTCTAAATTTTCAATAGGCTTGATTGGATCAGCTATTGGCATATTTATTTTGGCAATGCTTTATGAAGGCCTGAAGTTCTTTAGGGAGCATTTGTACAGGAGAAATGCTTCTACAATTCAGTACGCAACAGTTGCTGTTACTGGACAAAGTGGTAGTTCTGGTGTCACAGAAATTCAAAAAGTAACAAGGTAGGCATCAGTTTAAATTCTTTGGAAGAGTTTTGTGTTCTTGTGCTGTGCTGTTACAGAATTATTAACCTAAATAACTGACACTCTAAGTAAGATAACCACAATTGGTTAACTTGTATTCACTTCTATATACGTGCCACTGTACATTAATTAATAAATCATTAATACTTTCACACATTTAAATATTAGTATTATTATTATTTAGAGATATGAGAAACTTTTAGGTTTGAGCTACTTGTTACTACTATTCCGTGTTAGCTTTAATTGTATTTTATTTTAGTTTTTGATTTATATTTCACCCCTTTCCTTTCATGATGCTAACCCTGAGTATATGCAGTATAATCTGTGATGGGATGTTTATTTTTGTAATGATAAACAGCAGACATACAAGAAAATGTACTTTTAATTATTTGGGAACCAGATTATTCTACTTCAATGTCTATTATTTATTAAGGAATTGTACAGAATTATTTGTAATGTAAAAATAAATCGTATTTTGTTTTTGCTTGACTTTAATGTCAAAATGCTTCATACATCAGATTAAAAGTATTTCACACCATAAGTTGTTTGATATAGGTTTCTCTATTTGATTTACATTTTTATTATAAGCTATTAATTCTGCAAATATTAAACAGGCAAAATGACCTGCAGGATTTACAAACTTCTAGGCTGATGTATTTTGAAAATTTCTGCAAGAGTTTTTCATATTTTTCCACTGACTTGGACTGACTTTATTCGGGTTTCTGCAACACGTAGTAAATCACATGAGCATAAAGATGTTTCCTGTTAAGCACATCATATGAAAATATCTTTCTGTATGCTTGTATGTCACAGCAAAGAGCATGAAGGGAAAGTGGCACCCTTCATAATTTGCCATTATGTAAAGAAAAATGTTAATATTTAAGTATTAAATTTTCTTACATTATTTTAAGGAGCTCCTATTAAAGTTTTAGTCTCCATTTAATGTTTAAAGTTGCTTTTGTGTCAATCTCAAGAGTTCTTCTGTAAAAATGTTATTATTTGGAAATTGTCATATCACTTACTTGAAAGCATGTTTTAAGCTAGTGGTTTAATTAGTTGTGTATCAGTAAATTGGAACAATGTATTAGAACATAAAACCTATCTGCCATATTTGTAACATGTAGAAAGAATAGTCAACAACTACTTGAAGAATAATACAACCTTGCTATTCCTCCTGGGGGTGGTAGGTTGGACATGTGATTGAGCTCAGGGCTTGTGAGCTGAGTTTGAATCCATGCAATACCAAAAAAATGTTCCTTGCACTTTAAGATGTATGTGCATTATAAGAGTGACAGCCAACCCTTTAATGTGTGTGGTATGGTGCTCTTCTCACTGGTTCTTAACTTTTGTTCAAGAAAATAATTTTGGGAGGTTATCTTTTGAATTATTTACAATGGTAGGATGAAACATTCATGTAATTATATCATCATCCTCAGGAGTAACATTAAATCCAGACATTTTGTCTTTAGGATTGTGAACTCCTCTCTACTGAGAATTTTGGTTCATTTCTTATTCCATCCCTAGTTGAAATCTGGTTTAGTGTCAGAATACTTATCAAGATTAGTCTTCTGTATTTATTGGTTCCTTGTTTTCAATTTTGGTCACTTTCTTAGATGACCAGTACATATGTGTTACCAAAGTATTTTAATAACCAGTCATGATGGACAATCTTCAGCCTGACAAACCTCTTTCTTGAGAATTAAAAAAAAAACATTGTTGTCTTTGTGCTTATTAGCCTTCCCACCCTTGAAAAGCTTTTGAAAATCACTTTTCATCCTCCATCTGTAATCATATTGAATCAAGACTTGTATCGTAGAATCGTAAGTATGATTTAAGACTCTTGATGTGTGGTAGGGAAAATTTAGACATTAAGAAAAAAAATTGACATTTTTTTCATGTAGGTTGCTAGATCCATCATTACAAAGGATGTAATTGAATGGGGGTCCCATTGATAGAAAATTAAACAAAATTTGAAGTCCTAGTATGGGCCCTTGAAGAGGACGTTGTATGAAAAAGAGCAGAAAGAGAAAATATTGACTGGTAATTATTCAGACATTCCAATAGTAAGCCCTTTAATTTTATGGCCATATCATATAGGTTAGCAGCTAGGTAGCTATTCATTGTTCAATGCTCCATTTAAATGGAAAATGATTGCAGTTCAGGTGTGAAATGATTTTAATCTAATTTTTTTTTATGGCTGCAAAAGATGGAAGTGATCTGGTAAATCTCGTGACTCCAGAGTGGATGTAAAGTAAATGGTACAATAGATGTGTGTTTCAATGAAGATTAGAGTTACCATAGACATCAGTGCTATGCCCTGTGGTGAGATTTTGATGTCCATACCTTGAACATCTTGCTTGAATAGGGTTTAGTGGTTGATAGTTTCATTGTTAAACTGCTGTTGAGGTAACAGTTGGCTACATCCTTGATGGCACATTTGTCTGATATTTTATGTTTATTGATCAGGAAATATGTGATATTCATGTATGATAAAAGTAATTTATATCGGAAATCATCAAATATAAAAATATTTCATATTCAAAAGCTTGTCTGTATTTTCATTTTTCAAATGCTTTATTAACCCATTGTCAGGAATTTAACATTTCTTTTCACCAGTTGTGAAAATAAAAGGCTTTTACTTATATTTCTTAATAGTATAAATATATACTATGTTGTTGTTGAGCTTAGGATTCTTCTACAGTAGGTGTGTGAGACTTGTTAATGATAAATGAACAGCACGCACTTCACTTGTTTTCAGATATTATATATATATATATATATATATATATATATATATATATTCAGAAAAAGTTAAACGTATGTACAATAAATTCTTCACACTATATATATAGTTCTCTTCTTGTTAAAAGTCCACTTAGGCCTATTCAATTGCTTTATAATTTCAGTTGACAAGCCAAACTATCTACTCTATTACTATCACACTAGTATTCTGTGTGTGATCCACTTACAATTGTGGCGTGAGTTACCTGTAATCATTTGGTCTTCTTTCTTCTGGAGATCCTCTGTTCTTTTTGTCAAAGTGTACCCAGGTTGATTCATTTACTTTATAACCATGCTTTGATGGAATTAATTATTATTATTATCTCCTTTTCTGCTGTTAGTCTTACTCTAATATATTAAACACTAGACCAATGTTAATCATTAGGCCTATCACTTCTACGCTAGTTAACTCCAATGCCAAACTTTTCCTTGCCCTGTAACTTTACTCTTTTGTTTTTGCTATTATCTCTCTACTATTGTCTGTCTGCTGCTTCCACTCATCTCACACTATTTATATGTGGATCACTTATTTGTCTGCCCACCTTCTATATTCTTGACGTCAGTGTATTGCACATGATGTTCGATAGTCTCAACACCAGTGAATTATAAACACAACTTCCTACATTCATCTGCCTTTAACTCTTATTACAACAAAAACTAAACAATAAGAAAACATTCACTAACAAAAATAAATTAATCAATAATATCTAAACTAAACAGTTTTTTTATATCATGATACTCATAATGTTTCTCATGTACATAAACAGTTGCATTTACTTTGAAATTTTTCTTTTCTGTCAGAAGAATCACATGGTTTGTGGCCTTTTTCTTATTTGTAAGAAGAAAGAGTGAGCTTGAGATTTGACCTAGATGTAGCTGTTAACTCTTTGTTTAATATAATTTAATATGGGAGCATACAGACCTTGTACCTCTTTGTTATAGAAGTTTGTCTAGTCTGAATTGACTGTTACTGTAGAAAATTGTTTTATCCTTCAAACTCTCTCTCTCTCTTTTCTTTTTTTTTGTACCATAGTAATAAGATGATTTTAGTTTGTGTTGTTTGTTGTCATAGAAACTTGTGTTTCATGTCCTCACATTTTTCATTTTTTCACAGAAACAAGATGATGAGTTTTCCACACCTGATCCAAACTCTTCTACATGTGGTGCAGTTTGTGATAAGTTACTTCTTGATGCTTATGTTTATGACATACAATGTGTGGGTGTGTATAGCAATTGCTCTTGGCGCTGGAGCTGGATTCTTTCTATTTGGTTGGAAGAAAGCTACTGTTGTGGATGTAACTGAACACTGTCATTGATAATTTAATAGAGTTTAAATATAAAAAAAAAAGTTGCTGTTGAATGTTTAAAACTCTTATTTATCTATATATCTATACATATATAAATAAATTTTGAAAAACAAAAACTTCTATGGAGCTTGGCTTGCTGGTATGACAGCCACTTGTATCTGTTCTTATTAGATGTTTTGTCACAAGTTAAGCTCTGACATGGTGATACTATATACTTGTGTTAGTTTTATGGTAGTTCAGTTAGACATTATGGAAGGAACAGTGTCCAATAAAAATACACAGTAATTATTTCCCACAAAGACAAACCATTTGTGTAACAGTTGATCTTTGTCTTTATTAATATACTCATTTTATAAGTTATAGTTAAGTGGATTCAAAAACTTTGGTTGGAAATTAACTAAAATATGTTTAAAATTTTTAAATATGTGGTTATTGGCAGCTCATTTGAAGTTTCTTAAGTTTTATTAATTTTAATTTTGTCTGACAAATAATAATATTCTTGTTAGTACTGACTAAATGAAACTTAAATATTTTTTTATGAATTCACTTTTATTGAATTATCAAAAACACTGTGGCAACAAGCACTGTGTCTAGAATTTAGTAAAACTTTAGGATAATGAAAGACAAATTTACAATGTAAATTTGTATGAACTAATGGAAACTTTGAGAAGTACTGTATGATTTTTTTGTTTAATAAAACTACTTAGTTAAAGAAAGAACTGTAATATTTGAAATCATGTTTACAAGTGGCAGTACTATGGTACTATGAAAAATAATGTAAATTTACTTGTTATGACTTGCATATTTTCAGTTCCTCTCATGAAGGTACTATTGGATGATTTTAGTCATATATTGTTATGTTCTCTTTGTGTTATGAACTTTAACATTAAAACAAAAATCACATTTTTATCGTCATATGTGGAAATAAGAAAAGGCTTACAATCCAGAAAAAAATTATTATTTAGTCTAACATTTTAAATTAAACTCTTGTACTTTTCCTATAAATTAACTTGTTTGTTGAACAATTTTTAAATTGTCTATTTATGTTAAGGTAAATGTTACCAATTTTGAGGAAGTGGAACAGCAGAGTAATAAGTAACTTGTACAAGACCTCATGACCCACACTTCTTTTATATTTATAGTGCTTGAATAGTAGAGTAATCTGTAAACATTCCGTTGGTCAAAAAACTTCATTAGTTTGCGTTGTGCGTAAAGTAGCATACCACCAGCAAAATACTAAATATCTACTTGTATACCAACTTTTATCTAAATCAGTGTAGTAGTTTAAAAATGCATTAATTAACAAATAGAAGACTGTAAAAATATACATATTGAAATGGATCGTTAAATTACATATTGGATAATCAATTTGCAGAAATGGACATATTAACCCTCTTAAATATTGATAGGTGATTAATGAGCCTCACATTATTAAAAAGTTTTAACTCCTTAGAATTTTTAAACTAGCATGACATATCCACGGACAGAGAGCACACTAAAAATGGTTTGTGTTGGATCATGTTAAAACTATTTTCTATATTTATCAGTTTGTGTGATGAGACTCGTAGAAAATGTGTCGGTACAAACTAAACAGTGTTTTCAATATTATTCAAACTTATCAAAGTAAGCTTAATATTTGATAATGCAAGATGTCTAATTAGATGATATTTGCAGATTTGGAAAAAGAGTTTTTAAGCTTATTTTTTTAAAGTTTACTGAATGGAAAAAGATGCAAAACATGTGGTGGAAAATGTCTTGAAAGATAGCCAGATGAGTTAGTGTTGCATGTTTCATTCCATTATTAGTGACATTTAATATGACACTGTACAGGACCACTGATGTCTTAAGCAAAATATGTATACGTATTATTGGCACACAGTTCCATTGATTTCTGGAAAACTAAATTTGTACATTTCTTAATGTTAGATTCATGTGTAACAAAGATAATGTTCTATTTCTCAAGTACAATACTCTTGCTTTTAACTTGTTAACTTCTGTTGCTTAAATAACTTGTGATTGGTAACTAAGAGAAGTTTTTGATGGTGATGTATGAGTTTTTACAAAAAAAAAAGTGTTTAACATAATGTAGAGGTAATCATATGGTGTAATGTGTTTTTGTTGTATGTATGTTAACCTGATACTATTCATATATTACTTTCTATCAGCTTGTTAACATACAGAGATTTAAGCCTACTCATAGCTTGAAAAGAGAATCTTAAGTGGGAAATATATCTTGTAACAGATTGACTAAGAAAAAAAAACTAATATTGTAGTAAAAGTGATTTAAGTGAACTATATGAACATTTTTAGAAACTGTCAAAGTTTAAAGCTCTAATTACACGTGTATAATACATAGTAATGAGACTCAATAATTATTCTTGAGATGTGGTATATATTGTGGTGTTTAATGCCATTATTTATTTGTTTGAAAACATTCCTAGATGTATAACCTTGAGAATATGAAAGAGGATTATAAATGAATAATTATCAGTTTATTTTTAGATGACAATTGTCATGAAAAGTTTAAAAACAAATGCTATGGTTCTTCTTGATGAAAATCATGTTCAGGTACTAGAAAATAATTTTTTTGATATTAAAGAGTTGATAAAGAATTGCCTTAATTTAAATATGATGTAAATTCAGTTATCCTGCTAGATAACAAAAACAGCCTTGTGAAACTGGTTAAAATGGCATATGATGTAATAGTTATGATTTTGAGAGTATCAAAAATAAGTGTTTAAAGCACCAATAGACAGTTATCTTTGCTGAAAAAAAACTTTTACATATATTTAATGGCTTTAAATGTTTAATTGTAATTGAAAAATAAAGTCAGTCTTTGTGGTGATAATGGTTCACAAGTTAGACTGTGTTGGGGGTCCAAAAGTGGTTTTAGAGTTTTAGTAGGTACTATTTGTTTTTTTATGTAAACAAATGTTTTTGTGTGTATATTTCTAATTAAAATGGTGTTTTTTTTTCTATTTAAAGAAACCAATGTGTTCAGTAAAATGTGCAATTAATGCAAACTATAACATGTTCACAAAAATATATTCTTTTGTATGCTAGAAAGGAAGTTAACATGTTAAATATTCACTTTTGATAAGACTACATTTAAATAGGGTATGGAACTAACCTTTTGGTTTTCACTTATAACTTTATAGTATAAATGATCAGTAGCCACCACTCTTTCAGAGAGCAACCAGTTTTAACAGGAATAACACTGTATTTACTCACAAGATATCAATTTGTTTGTGTTTTATGGTTGACCTATCTTCGAGAAAGTAGTTTGTCTATTTGATCATACTGGATTTGGAGCAGAAAGATATCACTTTTAAATCATTACATCATTTAAAGCTGATTTAAAATCAGGTAATAACTATATATAATATGTTCATCACTTATTTTAATTGCTTCAATAAATGAGAAGTGTTAATTCTTGGTTATTGTAATGAAAATAGTGAAAGTAACTTTATTCAGTTTTCTGTATATGTGTATATATATATATATATTATTTTTTTTTTTCTGAACTTTCCTTTCACAGCAACTTATTGTGGTTTTTAGATTTAGTTTATAATCATATTGTTTCAAGTTAAATTTTGAATTTGTTTCTTGCAGTTGTTTCGTTTTTGTTATTATTTAGAAAACGTTAAATTCAGTGTTCATTGGTTGATATTGTATAGAAACAGTAATCCTGTAGTGTTCAGTAAGTAAATGAAAAACAACGTTGTATAACACAGTTTTGTGTTTGTATATTTTTATTTTCATTTTCCAACAAATTGTGTTGGTTCTACACTGAAAAGTTTTTTATCACCAAAATAGTAGATAGACTTAAATAACATTATATGTTCAAGGCACTTAGCTGCTATTATCATAATTTAAACAACTAACACGTCCTCACCTTGCTGGTGTAATTGGTGGAATGATTATTATCAACTCTGACATTAAATGCGCTGACAAAAGATCTTCAGTTCTGTTATTTATTTTTGATTGCAAGAGAAAAAAAATCAAATTGAAGAAAGGAATGCTTGCGAAATGAGATGGGGTTATACAATGACATGTATTTACTCCTATGTGCACAAGTGGGGATCAAAGTGTGTATGCCCCGACATTGTGCAGAATGCCATTCAACGTTGTATTATTACAAGCAATATAAAGTCTTCTTTCTTGTCTGGAACTTCCTTGATGTCTTATCGAGGGTTCATGATCGGCGAGTTAATTCCGAGTTGATGTAGTTATAATTCACTTAATAGGGAGCTAGCTAGCTCTATGGTCTTCACTAATCATACGCCAATTTTTCCTACCGATGACGTAAGGTAATGTTTTTGTAAAAGTACTAATGTCCTATGTGAATCCACGGAAGCTGAATGATTTGTCATGTTCGAACTTTATAAACGTTCCTAGTCAATATACCTGAAGTTCTTTATTAACAAGCGTTAATCACAGTTATAGCTTACGAAGTTTATAGCAACCCAATAATAGATACTGTTTTGTTGTTTGTTTGTTTTTTTGGTGCGTCGAGTTGGTTATATTTATATGCGTGTGGAGAGTTTCTCGAAACATCAGTTTATAACAATACTGACGCTAACACTAGCGTTTACGTACACATATATATTGTTGATTCTTACACTCGAGAATCTTCTACAACTTTAGAGAATAGGCGGGAGTTTCGCAATACATATTTAACACTATAAGTTATGTATATTTCTCAGTATAACTTTAATTTAAACAAACATCGATATTCAACTAAATATATAATAATAAATCCGTCACAGGTAGTACTTAATAGTATGGATTGTGATAAAACAAAATGGCAGCCATAAAAATTGTCCGTTTAAAACCACCTTTACAAAGTCTCGATAATTTTTTGTTAATTTTATGTAACTCAATTTCTGTAGTTTCAAGTTTCAATACTTTTTGTAGCGTTAAAACTTTCCATATTACTATAGCTAACTAGGTTACGTATATATCTATATATCGATCTCTACTTGTCTTTATAAAATTTAATTTTTTTTTATTGTACTTGTAATGTAAATATTAGTAAATTTAAGGTAGTTTAAGAGAAAGCTTGACAACTACATGACTGATAAGGGCTGGCGTTAAGACTTTCTTTAAATTAGATTTATTTAATAGTTTTAGTTTAGAGGATGAGACAGCCGAGATGGACCAATAGGTCCCTTTTTGTCCCTAAGCATTATATTATGTTATAAGCATGACTTTAATTGCCCTGTGCTGCCCTTGAAACTATTCTGCATGTTAATCATAATGGCCATGATTACTTGCTGTTATAAATTCAAATTCGATGACGAGGAACCCACTTTGAGACTAATAATGGCTGGAGACGGCTTAAATGGTTAATGAAGAAAAACTTTAATATAAGTTTAACATGACAGCAAATG